ACCAGAGAGAGAGGATGAAGAGAGAGGCCAGAGAAAGTGACCAGAGAGACCAAAAAGAGAGACCAAAGAGAGGCCAGAGAGGGAGAAGAGAAAGAGAGCAGGGAGAACGACCACAGAGAGACATGTGAGCATTTTAACCAATCAGAGTGATGCAGAGAGAGAGACCAGAGAAAGGGACCAGAGCGAGCAGAGTTTGTTGCACTAACGTATGGATTTATAGAAACAAAAGTATTCCCCGTCTCTGGGGACGAGCCGTTTTACTTCACACTGAGCTCTGTGGGAGAACCTCCTTAAGCTGCAGTACCACTGGTCGCCACTAGTCCGTTTAGAGTCGGGGTTAAACACAAATACTCTCTCTCCACATAATATAATAATCCCGGCTCCACACGCACACACAGTTTTACGGCACTTTACCTCCTCTGACCTCTCTCCTCTTTTACACACACCAGGAAGGAAGCTTTTGTCTCTTCCCAAACACCATTGACCCCTCGCTGGTCCCTCGCTGGTCCCTGCAGCCGGGGTCCTCCTCCTCAGAGCCGGCCCCAGTCTGCATATGGCTCAGGTCTGGATCATAAAGTGCTGTGTTTTAGAGATAGTTTCCTCTCCTGGGTTCGTGTTTCCTTTTACTGAGTGACGGGTGAAGTTTTAGACAGAGGAACCCAAACAAAAGCTCGGGTTAGAGCCGGACTCCAGGCCTCTGCTGTCATACATGTTTTACACGGATATGAGTTTGTCGTCGGTGAATGATGGGAGAATGTTTTTGGATATTCAGATTGTGTTGATTTGTTCTATGGCTGTAATGAACTGGTTTTGTGTTGATTGATTTGTTTGATGATTATTCTTTTGATTAACAGTCGTTGATTGGGTCTTGAAAGATCAGTGAGTATGGGATTTTCACCAAGGCAAGGCTCAGGTGAGAGAGAGATCAGAGAGACACCAGAGAGAGACACCAGAGAGAGAGCAGCGAGAGAGGCCAGAGAGAGCGAGCAGAGAGAGCAGAGAGAGAGCAGAGAGAGAGCAGAGAGAGACCAGAGAGAGAGAGCAGAAAGAGAGCAGAGAGAGAGCAGAGAGAGACCAGACAGAGACCAGAGAGACACCAGAGAGAGAGACCAGAGAGAGACCAGAGAGAGACCAGAGAGACACCAGAGAGAGAGACCAGAGAGAGAGCAGCGAGAGAGGCCAGAGAGAGGCCAGAGAGAGACACCAGGGAAAGAGACCAGAGAAAAGGACCAGAGAGAGAGACCAGAGAGGCCAGAGAAAAGGACCAGAGAGAGAGAGGCCGTAGAGAGAGACCAGAGAGGCCAGAGAAAAGGACCAGAGAGAGAGACCAGAGAGCGGCCAGAGAAAAGGACGAAATGCCAATATCTCAGCATTGACCTATAAGAAACCTGGAAGTTACTGATCAATCTCAAAAGTGTCTCTTCCCTAACATCGTTGACCCCTCGCTGGTACCTGCAGCCGGGGTCCTCGTCCTCAGAGCCGGCATGTGAGAGACCAGAGAGAGAAACCAGAGAGAGAGACCAGAGAGAGAGACCAGAGAGAGAGACCAGAGAGAGAGACCAGAGAGAGACCAGAGAGAGACCAGAGAGAGGCCAGAGAGAGACAAGCGAAAGACAAGAGAGAGACCAGAGAGAGGCCAGAGAGAGACCAGAGAGAGGCCAGAGAGAGACAAGAGAGAGACCAGAGAGAGACCAGAGAGAGACCAGAGAGAGGCCAGAGAGAGACAAGAGAGAGACAAGAGAGAGACCAGAGAGAGACAAGAGAGAGACAAGAGAGAGACAAGAGAGAGACAAGAGAGAGACCAGAGAGAGACAAGAGAGAGACCAGAGAGAGACCAGAGAGAGACCAGAGAGAGGCCAGAGAGAGGCCAGAGAGAGACAAGAGAGAGACCAGAGAGAGACCAGAGAGAGACCAGAGAGAGGCCAGAGAGAGACAAGAGAGAGACAAGAGAGAGACAAGAGAGAGACCAGAGAGAGGCCAGAGAGAGGCCAGAGAGAGACAAGAGAGAGACAAGAGAGAGACCAGAGAGAGGCCAGAGAGAGACCAGAGAGAGGCCAGAGAGAGGCCAGAGAGAGACAAGAGAGAGACAAGAGAGAGACAAGAGAGAGACCAGAGAGAGACCAGAGAGAGACCAGAGAGAGACCAGAGAGAGAGAGACAAAATGCTAATATCTCAGCCTTGACCTGAGAAACCTGAAATGATTTCAAAGTTTCTGAGTTTCCCAGTTTGAGTCAGTGTGTGTGGGCCGTCATTTATCTAAGTAGGACACAGTGGAGTGGTGTTGGTCCATATGTACATGTCAAAGGTTAATGAGCTAAACAAACACACACAGACACACACACACACACAGACACACACACACACACGGACCATGTAAGACCGGCTCCTGCTTTCAGATTTCTTATCAGTAAAGTTTATTTAACGCATGAAGTCACGTCTGCGGCCTCAGACTGGGCGGTGTGTCCGAGCTCCCCGCCTCAGAACTCACTCTGTGTTTTCTTCTGTGGTCTTCAGGAACCGAGGCGAGCTGCGAAAACGAGGGAGAGGTCCTGCACATCCCCAACATCACCGACAACCCCTGCATCACCTGCGTCTGCCTGGTAAGAACTGTCTTTTCACATCCTCCGCCGCCGTTTCAGATCCAGATATTTTCCGGAAGTTACTGATTGATCTCGGAAATTGTTATTGCTACAGTATGAGGGACCTAAATATATGTTCGTAATCGTAATCTCCAATGGAAAGAAAACGCCTGCTGATCAGCCTTGTGTGGATGGTGGTGTTGTCAGGTGTTGTGGTTCTTTTGGCACCCCCTGCATTGCTTCCGTTTTGCTTTGTTTTCTCTATGGGCCTCGGTATAGCGGCTCTGGATGTGTTTGAGAGTCGCAGCCGCTCTCAGGTCAATGCTGAGATATTAGTATTTTGTCTCTCTCTCTGGTGTCTATCTGGCCTCTCTCTCTGGCCTCTCTCACTGCTCTCTCTCTCTGGTCTGTCTGTCTGGTCTCTCTCTCTGGTCTCTCCATCTGGTCTCTCTGGCCTCTCTCTCTGGCCTCTCTCTCTCTGGCCTCTCTCTATCTGGCCTCTCTCTCAGGACTCTCTCTCTGGCCTCTCTCTCTCTGGCCTCTCTCTCAGGTCTCTCTCTCTGGCCTCTCTCTCTGGCCTCTCTCTCTGGCCTCTCTCTCTCTGGCCTCTCTCTCTGGCCTCTCTTTCTCTGGCCTCTCTCTCTGGCCTCTCTCTCTCTGGCCTCTCTCTCTGGCCTCTCTCTCTCTGGCCTCTCTCTCAGGTCTCTCTCTCTGGCCTCTCTCTCCGGTCTCTCTCTCTCTGGCCTCTCTCTATCTGGCCTCTCTCTCTGGCCTCTCTATCTGGCCTCTCTCTCCGGTCTCTCTCTCTCTCTGGCCTCTCTCTATCTGGCCTCTCTCTCTGGCCTCTCTCTCTGGCCTCTCTCCGGTCTCTCTCTCTCTGGCCTCTCTCTCTGGCCTTTCTCTATCTGGCCTCTCTATCTGGCCTCTCTCTCCGGTCTCTCTCTCTCTGGCCTCTCTCTATCTGGCCTCTCTCTCTGGCCTCTCTCTCTGGCCTCTCTATCTGGCCTCTCTCTCCGGTCTCTCTCTCTCTGGCCTCTCTCTCTGGCCTCTCTATCTGGCCTCTCTCTCCGGTCTCTCTCTCCGGTCTCTCTCTCTCTCTGGCCTCTCTCTCAGGTCTCTCTCTCTGGCCTCTCTCTCAGGTCTCTCTCTCTGGCCTCTCTCTCTCTCTCTGGCCTCTCTCTCTGGCCTCTCTATCTGGCCTCTCTCTCCGGTCTCTCTCTCTCTCTGGCCTCTCTCTATCTGGCCTCTCTCTCTGGCCTCTCTCTCTGGCCTCTCTCTCCGGTCTCTCTCTCTCTGGCCTCTCTCTCTGGCCTCTCTCTATCTGGCCTCTCTATCTGGCCTCTCTCTCCGGTCTCTCTCTCTCTGGCCTCTCTCTATCTGGCCTCTCTCTCTGGCCTCTCTCTCTGGCCTCTCTATCTGGCCTCTCTCTCCGGTCTCTCTCTCTCTGGCCTCTCTCTCTGGCCTCTCTCTCAGGACTCTCTCTCTGGCCTCTCTCTCTCTGGCCTCTCTCTCTGGCCTCTCTATCTGGCCTCTCTCTCCGGTCTCTCTCTCTCTGGCCTCTCTCTCTCTGGCCTCTCTCTCTGGCCTCTCTCTCAGGACTCTCTCTCTGGCCTCTCTCTCTCTGGCCTCTCTGTCAGGTCTCTCTCTCTGGCCTCTCTCTCAGGTCTCTCTCTCTCTGGCCTCTCTCTCAGGTCTCTCTCTCTGGCCTCTCTCTGGCCTCTCTCTCCGGTCTCTCTCTCTGGTCTTCCTCATTGAAATAATGAGCATTTCACAGAAGGTAACTCCAGAAGTGACGTTGAGTTCTATTTTCAGAATAGAGCCTTTGTGCTCTCTGCGATATGCCCTTTATGAATTAGAAATGAAAGGCCATTTCTGCTCAGCGAGAATAAAGCAAAAAAATAAAGTTAATAAAGTTAAAATAAACTTGCTCGACTGTATGTTTCTGACATGTATTTGAATTGAGGAGTAGTAGTAGTATTAGTAGCAGTATTAGTAGTAGTAGTATGTAGTAGTGGTAGTGGTACTGAATGATAGGTACTGTATATTCATATATTTAGGACAACAGTGCTTGAAAACAGCTCTTCTAAGACTGTATAGATGGATAATGAGCTCGCTAACCCTCGAGCTCTATGAAGCCATGGAGGAGGTTTTGTTCGCTCTGGACCCTGTCGACTTATATTGAAAGTAAACTCCTCTAGCTCAGTAACCGGTTGTTTCCTTTTGTTGCTCAGTAACTCCCCATTTTGGGCTAAACACTTGTGGTTTAACTATCTGTATGAGCCTGGTGTTTTTGTTGTAAATCTGACCCCAAATTCTTATTCCGTACGCGAGTTGCGCAAGAGGCAACAATGCAGTCTCACTCATGATTGGCTCTCTGGTTGCTAGGTCGTTGCTATACAGTCTTTGCTATACACACACATTTGGCAAAGAACATTTACAAACCTTTCTGTTAGTCCTGATCCCGCTCTTGATTGGACTATGGCATTATTCTCTGATCTGTTGTCGGTGAATTGACTAGTTTTTACAGTCCTCTGAGACGTCTGCTGCTGTGATTTAGGGCGATACACACCATAATTTGAATGACATAGAAGTGTCCAACAATGGGGTCAGTACCAGCAGTATCCCCCTTTACTTCCATTCTCCATCACTCACTATCGCCCACATTAGCAGTCAGTGTTGCCCATTAGGTCTTGTGTGTCCTTGTTCTGTACTAGTTTTATTGTGATATGAAAAGTCTGATTGTAACTGAGTTTGGGGGGTGGGGGTACTCATCTTATTCTTTCATCAGCTCACTACTTTTGAGCCGAATCGATAAAGTTCACATAAATAAACAAAATTAATAGATAGACAGATGGATAGAAAAGTAAAATATGTCTTGTGTTTCTCCCGCACCGTGTCTTGAGCTCTGAATCTCGCCTTTGTCGCTGATACCCCAGGATTTGCAGCACGGTCGCAGTGAAACTTGAAGTGGTCGTTGTTTGTTTAAAGATGGCGTCCTGTCGCCGTGACGTCTTGGTTCGTTAAAGCAGAGCCACAGACGTTAGCTCCTCTCGGCTCCGTGCTCTCTGACCTCATGAGTCTTGTTCGCGACCTCCCGGTGAGATCTTTGAGTCGGGGCCACGAGAGGCTTTCACAGATACTTTATTGTTGTTGTAAAACAGTCAATGAATGTAATTTCTCAGAGTTATTCGCCATTTGCAGTAAAACCCCATTGGAATACATGCGCAAAAGTCCCCACAGTGCATCAGACCAGCACATAAACAAAACAAGCTAACATTTACCCACAGTGGGACAAATCAAGAATCTATCAATCCTAATTGTAAGTACCAGGAAGTCACAAACTAGGAAGTTGCTTTGACTCATGGTGCAAACATTGTAAAACGATATTTAAAAAAAAGGAATCCAGAGAGACCAGAGAGAGGCCAGAGAGACACCAGAGAAACACCAGAGAAACACCAGAGAGACACCAGGCCAGAGAGAGAGAGACCAGAGAGACACCAGAGAGAGGCCAGAGAGAGGCCAGAGAGAGAGACCAGAGAGAGAGAGACCAGAGAGACACCAGAGAGAGGCCAGAGAGAGGCCAGAGAGAGAGACCAGAGAGACACCAGAGAGACACCAGAGAGAGTCCAGAGAGAGAGACCAGAGAGAGAGAAGCCAGAGAGAGGCCAGAGAGAGAGACCAGAGAGACACCAGAGAGACACCAGAGAGAGTCCAGAGAGAGAGACCAGAGAGAGAGACCAGAGAGAGACCAAAGGGAGAGGCCAGAGAGACACCAGAGAGAGGCCAGAGACACCAGAGAGAAGCCAGAGAGAGACCAGAGGGAGAGGCCAGAGAGAGGCACCAGAGAGAGGCCAGAGAGAGGCCAGAGAGAGACCAGAGAGAGACACCAGAGAGAGGCACCAGAGAGAGGCACCAGAGAGAGGCACCAGAGAGAGGCCAGAGAGAGGCCAGAGAGAGACCAGAGAGAGACCAGAGAGATACCAGAGAGAGACCAGAGAGATACCAGAGAGAGACCAGAGAGAGACCAGAGAGAGACCAAAGAGAGAGACCAGAGAGAGAGACCAGAGAGAGAGACCAGAGAGCGACCAGAGAGCGAGACCAGAGAGAGACCAGAGAGAGACCAGAGAGAGACCAGAGAGAGACCAGAGAGAGACCAGAGAGAGACCAGAGAGAGGCCAGAGAGAGGCCAGAGAGAGACCAGAGAGAGAGAGACCATAGAGAGAGACCAGAGAGAGAGACCAGAGAGAGAGAGAGACCAGAGAGACACCAGAGAGAGAAACCAGAGAGAAAGATATAAGAAATTATCCAAATTAGAAACAGTCCATATCACTTCTGTCCTGAGTCACTCGCTGTATTAAACACACAGAGGCCATATCCATTATCGAACTCTCCGGAACATGATATAGTGTCGGTCTCTGGCTCCTGATTGGCTGAGGCTCTTATCAGCAGACATCAGCCCGCGTCCTGCTCAGTGGTATCAGTCATCAGGCAGGGAATAGGACCTCCTTTCATCTCCCGTTTGCACCCCTTCAGATCCGCACTGTTAGCTCATTAGCCCTATATTAACTTAGCCTTTGTTTATCTCGGTGGAATCTCTCGACGTTAAACTAAGAACATGCTTTTTTCATTTCCACAGGTTACAGTGAAGTGGCCTTTTAGCTTCCAACAAACTTCCTGATGTGATTTTCCCAAAGCTAATAAAGGCACAGGGTCATTAAGTGGGAGATGTGCGTATTTACGACTTTTAGCTAGACGCCAAATACAAACACACAAAGAGACAAATGTTATTCGAGATCGACCAGTTTAGCGTCCAATGGATTTGACCTTCAGTTTTGTGAGGATGCATCGGTCAGTGTGCAAGGACTTTATGCTCGAAATGTCTGTTTTTCTCCCAGTGGGAATGAGGCTCTAGATGGTTATTGTGAAGATATATTGACCTTTATTTTATTTTATTTAAATGCATCGGTTATATATGTAAAGCGCTTTTTTGGACTCTCAAAGAGGCTTCACATGTCATTCTT